TCTCAATCCCTTGGTTTTGGGATTGCTCAGTCCCTTACCCCTTTTGATCTTAATCTCTTGGCCCCTTTTGAGGTCAGTCCCTTGTCTTTGGGATTGCTCAACCTCTTACCCCTTTTGCACTCAATCCCTTGGTTTTGGGATCACTCAGTCCCTTGGTTCCTTTTGAGCTCAATCCCTCCACTTTGGGATTGCAGGCGCTGGTGGGCAGGGACCTCGAGGACCACCACCAGATCCAGCACTGGTGTAGACCGGAGCTTGCAGAGCTTGGGAGATGTTCTGCAGCAGCCGCTCCAGGCTCCTTGCAAGCATCTACTGGGAAAACAACATCGAACCTGGACGGTGCTTCATTAATTGAGGTGGCTTTGCTAATAAAACGCTCGTGACTGCCTGTCCCAGGGACACGCACGTTCCTCTTAGGAGGTGGGGTGCAACTGGGCAGGAGAACGCGAAAATCTGCGCTCGAGCGGTGGCAGCTCATCCCTTGTTTTGCTGTTACCTTCTGCGAAGTGAGGGCTTCTGCTGTCCGGTGAGTAAAATAAATTACCCCCAGCAGCTGCTAGTGCTGATCGTCTGAAACAGTGGAACCCACTTAAATGAATAATAATTAAAGAAATAAATTTCCCCGAGTGCCAGCCGCAAAACTTTTTGTTCAGCAATAAAGCCAAGGAGGGCCTCGCAAAATGAATCGCTTGGCTGTTTCCGAAGGAGCCTGCAAGCGCCGCAGCGGGCGAAGCGGCGTTATAATGGGACTTATTAAAGGAGCCGGCGGGGTTCAAGGAAGCCTTTTCCTGGGGGTCGAGGTCGCGTTGAAACAGGCTGAGTAGAAGCGAGCGTGGCTGACGGCAAAGCGCATTCCCTTGACGAGCTAAAAAATAACGGGAAGTTGGGATGACCCTGTTAAAGTCATCCCCGGTGGAGCCCATCGTCTGCTGGCCGCAGTCGCTTGGGCAAAGCCCTGCTTGTTTCCCTCCCTGTGTAAGATTTTCATAAATAATCCTGGATTTAGGACAATTTGGGCAGCAATGGGCTCGGCACTTTCCTCTGTTCCCAAGGAGGGTGACCTGCGTGGGTGGTGTTGGCCGTCAACCCAACACGGTGCTCTCACCCTCTTGCGCATCCCTTGGCCCTGGTGCATCCCAGCTCTTCTCCCTTTTTTTTTTTCTTTACATTATTTCAGTTTTCTACAGCCTTTCCACCCTATCAAAAATAAATTCCTCGATAAGATGCGCAAACAGACCTTTCCACCTGATGAGGTCTGGGGGCCGTACCCTAAGAGCAATAAAATCTTCCCTAAATAATTAAGCGGGTAATAATTAACCCCGCTCCCTGCGTGCAATATTCGCAGCCGATTTTTAACGCGAAGGGAAATGTCAAGGAGTCTTTGTTCGGCGTGAGTTTGTTGCATCGACGACCCTTGGGCGAGGGGGGAGCTGAGCAGGGTTTGGAGCTGGATTGGACCGTCCTGCTCCCTGTGTTGGCATCCGGGAAAGCACCGAGCGGTGCTCCCGCGCGCCGTTGCTGCGCCGCCAAGGCAAATCTCTGCCGTCCTTTCCCTGGAGAAGAAAGACCAGGCTGGAAGTGAGACATCCCTCAAGCCCTGAGATGTGTTTTGGGGTTATGGAAAAAGAAAAGGTCCTAATTAATGTATGAGTGTTGACGGAGGGGCGCAGCATCCGACCCGCTCGTTTTAAATGTATTTTTGGGGTCGTGGAGGTCCTAATTAACGTATGGGTGCTGACGGAGGGGCGCAGCATCCTACCCGCTCGTTTTAAATGTATTTTGTGGTTGTGGAGCATTCGACGGCGATAAATTGTGCCTCTTTCCCCTTTTCCATCAAAAGCTGGAATTTCGAGCAGGAATCAAACGCTGCGGGAAACGCCGTGGGACCGTTCGGCTGTGGATTCCTTCGGAGGAGGAAGGTGGGGGGGGGGGGGGGGAAAAAAA